CGCCCTTGCTGCCAGTGCTGGACGGGCCTCTCCCGGTGGCAGTCCCGGCAGTGGTCACTCGTGGAACCCCACCTTGATGGAGGGAGGGTCATTCGGAGTATTCGTTTTGTGTCTTGTCTCAGCACCTATTTGTCCTCCGTGGCGGAGTCACTCAAAAACAGCACGTGCTCTTCCACATTAATGTCTTCGCGATAAATGACATGAACCAGAGTGATCATGACTCCCTGTCTTCCAGTACTTCCCGCCCAGCGTGCTGGAGAAGGAACATCTAGGGCATGCAGCCTCTATGGAGCTTGGAGCTCTTTAGCATTACGAATGAGGCATTCTGATCTCATCCCGTAATGGACGGTCGGGTTTCAGCTCCCATCTCCAGATACATGGAATAAATACTCAGAAGGAAAGATTCATTTTCTATGTTGCACAACCAATTATCAGGATTGGATTTGGGGAATCTATGCTGACCCCTTAACAGCCCCCAACTTATGTATCTCTCCCTTCACCAGGCCCCATGATGGATACCGCGTCACCACAGGGAATAACCAGGGTTAAGGGAGTAAACAGGTTTCCTTCACACCACTCACCTCTAATCCCCCCAGCCCTTTCCTACCAAGCGTAGATAAAATAAATGACAGTATCACTGGCATATGATTTCAATCCCATGGTTGTAAGGTCAAGGGCAGCAACTTTAGCATATTCCTTTCAAATCTGCCATTATAGGGCTAGTGCTTTTCAAGTCAACTCTCAATTATTTCAAGGCAGTATATGTATATTCAATGACATTTTATTTTCCACTTTCTTATATTGTTGCTCAGCTCTTTGATAAAGTCATTGACCACTAACACAATTCAAGGGCAAACGGAGCACATTAATGGTGACGAGATCCACAGTATTTACTTTGGCTTAATTAGCACCACTGAAAATAACATCAAGAACGAGAAAATATCTTGTTAGTCTCCCACACTAGACTGTGTTCCCTAAGGCACCATTCTCATTAAACCGCCAGCACTCAGACCCATGCCTTGCAAACAGTAATTGCTCAGTAAATGTTTGTTATTGGATGAGTGGGCAAGATGGTCGAATCATTGTTTGATAATGATATTTTTTGTATTTTAGGTCCCCATCTGTCACTATGAAATTTAACAAATTTCCCATTTTGATAGCCTCTGACTCACTTTGCTGTCTAAAACATAAACAAAGTTAATTCAGAAAACTTTTATTGTATCTACTACAGCAAGGTGTATAATGAATATAAAGTGGATAAGAGTCAGTATTTCTCTTCAAGAAGCCATAATCTAGTTGGGATATTCAGCGTTTCAGAGACACTGATACAAATTACCTTGTGGACAAAAGGATGAACAAATAATTAATGAATTAAAGAACAAGAAGATGCATACGTGACTATAATACAGGATTGAGTAAAAGAAATGTTAGAAAATGTTAGAATGGAGTTGTTTTTTAAATTTCACTAGGAGATTCAAAGGAGGAAAATATCTGAAGGGGCGTCTTGGAGAAGGAAGGTGTCTTAGTTCATTCCGTGTTGCTATAAATGAATACCTGAGACTGAGTAATTCATATAGAAAGGGGGTTTAGTTAGCTCCTGGTTGTGCAGGCTGAGAAGTACAAGAAGCATGGCATGGGCATCTGCTCAGCTTCTAGTTGGCACGTGCAAAGCGGCAAAACCCAAGGCAGATCTGGCTTTACACCAACCCACTCTTGCAGGAACTGGTCCATTTCAGCCAGGACTAATCCAGTCTCCTGAGAGTGAGAACTCACTGTCTGCTGCAAGAACAGCACCAACCCACTCGTGAGGGACCCACTTCAGGACCCCAACACCTCCCACCAGGCCCCAGCCCCCAACTCCACCCTACTGGGGATCAAATTTCAACATGAGTTCTGATGGGGACAGCCCATATCCAAACCACAGCATCTCAAACCGGCCCCGAAAACTTCTGTCCTTCTCTTATACAAAATGCAGTCACCCCGTCCCAGGAGACCTAAAAGTCTTGTTCCAGCACCAACCGAAAAGTCCAAAGTCCGAAGTCTCATCTGAGACTCAAAGCAAGCTACTTCCATCTACGACTCTGTAAGATAAAAAACAAGTTATTTACTTCCAAGATAAAATAGTACAACAAACACTGGGTAAGCATTTCCATTCCAAAAGGGAAAAATTGGCCAGGAGAAAGGAATGACAGGCCCCGAGCAAGTCTGAAACCCGGAAGTGTAGACATTAAATCTTAGAGCTCTGAAATTCTTCACTCTATGTGCCACCTCCTGACCACAGTAGGGGGGTTGCCTTCTCCCCAAAGAGAAACCTCACCTCATGGCTTTTCTAGGCACAGCCCTGTGGCTGCTGTCACGGGTTGGTGTTGACTGCTTGCAGCTTTTTTCCAGGCTGAGGTTGTGCAGCTCTGGTGTCCTGGCAGCAGCCCCTGCCGCTGCGGCTCCACGAGGCATCGCCCTGGTAGGGACTCTCTGTGGTGGTCCTGCCCGTGCAGCAGGTTTCTGCCTGGGCTCCCAGGTTTCCGATGCATCCTCTGAAGTCTAGGTGGAAGGTGCTGGGCCTGCAGGGCTCTTGCATCCTGTGCACCTGCAGACACAGCACCATGTGAACATGGACACGTCCAAGGCGTACCGCTTGTGCTCTCTGGAGCCGCAGCACGAGCCACACCTGCAGCCGCTCAAGTCACGGCTGCTGGAGCAGCAGGTGGGGAGCAGCCTTCCGAGGCACCACAGGGCAGCGGTGCCCTGGGCCAGGCGCCTGAAATCATTCTGTCCTCCTAGGCCTCCAGGCCTGTGATGGGAAGGGCAACCTCAAAGATTTCTGAATTGCCTTCGGAGGCTTTCCCATTGTCGTGAGGGATGGCACCTGGCTCCGTTCCGTCAGTACTACTCTGTTCAGCAGCAGGTCACTCAGCCACAACCTCGAGTTCTCCTGAAAATGCTCTTTCATTCTCTACCATATGGACAGGCTGTGGATTTTCAAAACTTTTCCAATCTGCTTTGCTGTTCTATGCCAACTCACTGGAAACAGTTAGAAGTAATCACGCAGAAATCTGAGTGCTTTGCTGCTTAGAAATGTCTTCTGTCAGATATGCTATTCTGTTACTATTAAGTTTGGCCTTCCATGAAGCCCTACGGCAACAGAGTTCTTTGCTAGGGTGTAACAAGGGTGACTTTGCTCCAGAATCCAATACCTCGTTCCTGGTTTCCATCTGAGACTTTATCAGAATGGCCTTTGCTGTCCATGTATCTATCAATATTTTGGCGAGGACCGCTTAACCAATCTCCGAGAAGCTCCAGATTTTCCCTATCTTTTTCTCTTCTTTTGAATCCCTCACCAGAATCACCCTTGAGGATCTGTTCACAGCAATATAGTCTTTTTCTAGCCTGTTCCTCCAAACTCCTCTAACCTTTGCCCATTATCCAGTTCCAAAGCCACTTCCACATTTTTGGGTATCTTTATAGCAACACCCCATTCCTCAGTACCAATATTCTGTCTTAGTTGTTTTGGGTTGCTATGTAATACCCGAGGCTGGGTGATTTATAAAGAAAAGAGGTCCGGTTAGCTTCTGGTTCTGCAGGCTGGGAAGCACAAGATGCACGGAGTGAGCATCTGCTCGGCTTCTGGTGAAGGCTTTCCTGCTGTGTCCTGCTGTAGCAGAAGGTCAAAAAGGACACGGGCACATGCAAAGCAGCAAAGCCCAAGGGGCATCATTGCTTATAACAACCCACTCTCATGGGAATGAATCCATTTCAGTGGGAAGGGATTCGGTCACTCTTTACCATGAGAACGGCACCCACGAGGGGTCCATCTGCTCCCATGACCCACCCTCCCCCCACCCGGCCCCACCCCCATCACCACCACATCGGGAATCAGATTTCAGCGTGAGTTTTGGTGTGGACAAACCATATCCAAACCACAGCAGAGGCCTTTTAAAATCTCTCAAACTGAGGAAAGGTACAAAAGTGGGAGAACCACCAGCAGGGTGGCCAACAGCAAACAGACCGTGAGGGCTGGACCTGGGCCATTGGCAGCGAAGCGGTGGAGGGAACTCAGCTGGGAGCAATAGCAGCCCCGTGGGATGGGTACCAGGTACCGTTACCATCCCCATCTTCCAGGGGCGGGAGCTGAAACGCTGGGGAATGAATCACTCACTACAAATCACACAGGGAGTAAATGATGGAGCCGGTAATTTTTAACCCCCATGGCTCTGCCACAGCAAGACGGTAACACCCTTTTCGCTCCATTGCACCTTCGCTGCTGCTATGGTCCAGGCTGTCTCTCTCACCCCTGGGGAGTTTCTGTGTCTTTCCTATTCCTGATTTCTTGGCCCTAGCAACCCAGGCAGCAGTTCGCTGCTGAGAGGATGTCTCTGGAAGCAGCTGGCACAATGTCAGTTCAATTTCTGATTAGCCTGTGCTGATGCTCAGTGGTGTGTACTGGTATGGCTGTACCAGTTGTCAAAATAGTCCCATATCAATCAGTAAATGGACATTGCCTTTCTGCCATCTCAGATACCCGGGCCCTTCAGACGTGGACCGCTGGGACCTCCCCGTGGTCAAGCATTCAAAAGGCTGGTGCCTGACGCAAGCAGGGGCCTCCAGGATCCACTCCTGAGCCTTGTCCTGGATGCGTTCTGACTGTTTGGGACCCAGCAGTACTGATTGTTAAACATTTCGAGTATCATCCCCTGATCTGCTCATTTCTGAGATCATCCAGAACTCTTGAGATCCACTCTCCACCTGGTCCCATCGTCATTTGATCCTCCCGGAAGAAAGAGCCATTGGAAGCCAGTTAGCTGTTACTCGTTACTATTATTGTTTATGTTTATTGTGCCACCTGGTTCCAGGTGTATAGAAAAAGGCGATGAGTTAAATGCAGGCTTTGGAGAAAAATCGTTCTCTGTGGTTTAGGGGCACCTCCCAGAGGGAGCTGCCAAGTCACTGCTGCCTATTGGTTCCGAGCTGGTCCTAAGATGCTTCTGTTTCTGTCATCCCAGCTGTGTCCACCGGCCATGTGGGGAGCGGGGCAGCTGTGCGCCATTGCTGCTTGATCACGCTGATGTGGCGAACTGTACCTCTAGTGGCCCAGGTCACATGAAGTGTGCTATCACCTGTCAAAGGGGATGTGCCCTTCAGACCAGCAGCGGGCAGTTCCTCAGGCCCGTGCAGGTGAGTTGAAAGCACCTGGTCGTGCCCCTATGACCGAGCTTCTGGGGAGGGAAGCTGTCTGTCCTCTTCTGCCTGGCCCAGTAAGGAAAGGGCAGATGTTTTAAAATCGTTTGAAAGGAAAACACGAGGGCTCTGACAAGCAGAGAAGCATGGCTTAATAGAAATGCAAGGTATATAAAAGCGTGTGCGATGCTGATTAAATAATGTGTTTCTCTCCAGGTGGGCAGTAAGTGGCAATGCTTACTCTGTTCTTCTCCCTTGTTTTTGTCTTCCTGTCAGAAATTATATTCCCTACTTTTGCCTTCAAGATGAGCATGCCACAGTCTAGACTTGTCCATAGTTTACAGGCAAGATAAGTTGCAATCAACTTACCTGAGGTTTGTCGTCCGTCCCCTTCCCCAAACCTCCTTACAAGAAGGCTGGAGAAATAGAACCAAATTTGCTCCCCCAAAGTGCTAAATCTGTTACTGAGGCAGAAATTCTATCACGATTCTAGCTTTGGTGAAAGTTTCCAGGTTTCTGCAGGCTCCATTCCAAATTTCTATAGCATCATTTTTAGAATTTCAAGGTAATTTAGAGTAGTAAAATATATTGGTTAAGAAGAACATGGCTTGGGAGACAGATCTGAATGAAATTTCGGCTTCCTTATGTATTAGGTGTATAAGTTGGGTAAAGACAAGCAAAACTAACCTCTTTAAGCTGTTTTTCACATTTGTAAATAATTAGAAGTCCTTATATCATTGAGTTACTATGCTGTCTGATTGGAAATAGTTTTAACAACTCTAGCGATATGATAGGCACATAGCACTCTATTAAGCTGCCATTGTTATGAGCAGGATAATGTATTCTCAACTAAGAATTTTGTTTTCCATCTTTCCTTTAGAGAGTTTAGAATACTGCATAGAGGAATTTTAAGCATGAAATCAGCAGTTAGGAAACACGACCATATTATGACATAGAGAAAGGATACACCAGGCAAAGGATAAGAGTACTTGACAAGAGGACCAGAAAGATGAGGAAAGGGTGGACACACATTTGTTTACCAGATATCAATGGTTGGGAAGACTGGAATTTTTTTCATTTTGTGCCAATCGATTGCTTAACATGTTGTAAACCTGTGGGAGAATTTCACTTTCTTATACATGGTCAGAATTTAAAGACACAATGTTTGGTTTCCGATGGACTAGGTTCTGCCTAGAGAGAAACAACTTTAATATACTTTGAGGTACCAACTTCTTGATCTATGATTCTTTCATTAGGAAGGCAGAGCTGTTATCATTTGTTCTTTATCTATCTCAACTCAGAAAAAGATATGCCCACCCCAGAAAAGAGATAGAAAGAATGAAAAAAAAAAATGCAGAGACCGAATACGCTGATGTGATAGGTGAAGAAGGAGAGAGAAGAAAAGACAACGTTTATACTGCATTAAAATCAGGAGCAAATTCAAGACAAAACAGACAATACCTAACAAAGCCAGGAGAAAAACCAGGCAATATATGAAGAGTTCAAGAGATAGTCTTTCAATGATAGTGGTTTGTTGTGGTTTGAAGGAGACTTCCAGGCGGTAAGAGTGTGAGGGGCAGCATCTCGGTGGGGAGGAGGAAAGGGGGAGCTCACCCTTTGCCAGCCATATGGTGGAGTCGGCAACAGAGCTCCTCAGCTGACCACACGCTCCCATCACCCGAGGCTGGCCCCATGCAGGAAATTATACAATCCCGGCTCGTGATCACAAGACGGTGGGGATGTTTGCTTTTTGTTGACATGAGAACTGAAACTAAACAGAAAAACGTGTCTGGCTTTGAACTGGATCCTTCTGGCAGGCCACAGGGAAACACTGGGATGCAGGCAGGAGCAGCGAGCCAGGACTCAGTTTCAGGGGACACAGGTGCCTTCAGCAGCCATTGTACCTGTGGCTTTGGTGCCTCCATGGGCTCCTGGCAGGATAGCTGGCTCAGCCAGAGATGTGCCCCTCTCTGCCTTTGACCTTGGGGAACCCAGTGGCTAGAAGGATGGCCGCACTTTTCGCAAACGAGCCATCAGCCCCCAGGTCTCTATGTCCTGCTCCTTCGGTTCCCCCCACCCTAGAAACCTTCTGCTCCCACCTGCCCCTGTGCTGCTGGGAAGTCCCGGTCATCTTTCAAAGGCCAGTTCCTGTGTCACCTACTCTGAAACCTCCCTAAATGCTCTCGCTGTCTGCTAGCAGGGCAGTCCCTCCTCCAGCTCCCAGGGTGCTGTTGTACCACCACACAGCAGCAGGTAGCGTATAATATGGCTTTATTTTTGCATATTTATATTGCCTTTCTTCCTGATCCCAGTCTTCTACTGCTTTTATTTTATTGTTTGCATTCTCTCCAATCATTATAGAAGGGGATAGGATAGGATATAAGAGATAAAAATACACCTCTAGCATTTTCCTTCTTTACTTTCTTTCCTGCCTTCCTCTCTCCTTTTCTCCTTTCCATTCTTCCTCCCTCAGGCGTTTTCTGAGCCACTGTTTCAACAGGCAGTTTGCTCCCCCGGTACATTTTTAGCTCCTTGAGGGCATCTCGTTTAGTACAGCTGCTCAGTAAGTATCTCTTCGTGTGATTAGTGGCATGTGCTCCAGGGCTGCCCTGCTGAAATGACGGGCCCCAGGAAGCACCTGGAATCTCTCCTATGCAGCCACACAGTTTGGAAGGTGCACCGTGTGCGTTAACTCTCAGCTGCTGTCGCCATGCACCATTCTCGGTGGGGCTAGTTATCTTCACTAGCGTTGTCAGTTGGCTCATTAATGAGGATGCCAGCAGGAAACAGATGACATGCTCAAAAGTAGGTAATTGGAGGGAATTTAATAAAGGGTCTACTGGTACAGGTGTGGGCAGGATACAGGGAAATCACAAGGGATGGGGCGGTACCCCAGGGTGAAGAGGCTCGGCAATCTTCGCCAGGCCTGCAAGGCTGACTGAGGCAGCAGCAGCACCGCAGGCAGAAGGAGCGGAAGCTGGATGGAGAGGGCTCCCAAAGGACGCAGCCCACCCACAGCGCCCCCAGGAGGGAGTAAGGAGAATTAGCATCCAGGCCTCCCTCTCCTCTGTCCCTCTCGGGTCTGCCGCTGCAACCCAGGGGCTGAACCCAAGCAGGCATGAGCGGCGAGGAGCCCACAGAGCAGGGGGCGGAGGGCAGAGAACAGACGGGGAAGCGTGAGTGGAGGGCAGCCAGCAGAACTGGCCTGGAGGAGTCTCGCCCGTTGATGACTCCCTTCCACTGACAGGCTCCTGTCATCAGCATCGTGCCTGCGTATTGCGAGACTGCGTATTAAAACAACGAGGCACGAAGAGGGACAAAGGCAAAGTAATTGTACCCGTTTCGAATGTTTGGACGAATAATTACCAGGACTCTTCCAAAGCCTGGAAATGGTTCTGATAAGCCTTATTATGTGACCTTGACAGAGGCAAATTCTCTGTTTCTAGAAGGAAATTCTGCTCACGTGTTCTTCTGGGCACTGGGACCGGGATGTGAGCTGCATGCCCCTGGACTGTGGCGTTCCTGATCCGTCTTTGGTGAACTATGCCACCTTCTCCTGCTCGGAGGGAACTGGCTTTCTGAAACGCTGCTCCGTCTCCTGTGTCCCGCCAGCCAAGCTGCAAGGTATTGTCCGGTCAGCTAGGAGTTGCACGCAAGTTCTCTCCAGTCCCTTACTCTTTGGGGTACTTTGGGGCTCTGTTCTTCCCTGCAACACCCTTCCCATTTGCTCCACTGTGTCACCATCTTCTAATAACACCAGCGAAGTCCCAAAGGGCGGCGCCATTCCGTGTCTCCAACTTCCTGGAAGGATGCGCTGACTCAGGGTCTCAGTCATGAAGGAATCGTAGACTTCCCTCTGTTGTTATCTGATTGTGTGCACCCCAAAGTTAAGGCAATTAGAACGGTTGTCCTGATAATATGAATAGTCAAGATATCATGCACATTTTAAAATTTAACATTTACAACCCTCCTGAGTTATGTGTGTTTAGCTCTACGGATAGATGAGAACACAGTGACGTAATTTGTGCCTGGCTGTAGAGCTGGTTACGGCTGAAGATGGGGTGGGACCTGCTCTAACTGAGCCCCGCAGCTTTGTCTTTGCCTCACCAGACTGCTCAGCCTTTGGCGTGCCTGACAGTTTCTCAGGAGGCTTGTTGTAAATTCAGATTCTGGAGCCTGACCCTGAGAGGTTCTGCTTTGGGAGGTCTGGGGTGGGCTAGTGATGCTGTGGTGAATAGTCCCCGGATTGCACTTGGAGAAACCGTGACGTGTACTGACGCGTACATGCGACACTTAAGTACAGAACTCTCCATCCAAACTGCCTGGGTTCAAACCCCGGCTCTGCCCCTCACTAGCTCAGGCATGTTACTGAACCCCAATTTTTTCATCTGTACAAAATAGGATACTAATAGGACCTCCTTCACAGGGCTGCGTGAGGTTCAATGTTCACACGAGTTAATACATGTAAAATGCTTAGAACAGTGCCTGGCATGTCATGAGCACTATAAAAGTGTCATCTGTTATTATTTTAATGCTTTCCATGATACTGTCACTGCTATATTTTTGTTATTTGTAGGCAAGAAGGGAAGTAATGATTTGGTTGGTAGCCCTTCTTTCGTTCAGGTCAAGGAAGATTTATCTGGCCTCTGTTCTGCACAAGAGACCATACTGGATGCTCTGTAGGGAAAAAAAGACATAGGACGAGCATTTGATGTGAGATTTTTGAGACGCCACTCAAGAAAGACTAACATGACTTTCGGAGAATCCCAAGAGATTGACAGGTTTCCGTTCTTTCTGCTGGTATTGTCTTTCCGGACTGTGTTCTGAGCATCCTGTGCTTCTCTCTCCTGGAGTCAGGACTGAGCCCGTGGCTGACCTGCCTGGAGGACGGGCTGTGGTCTCTCCCCGAAGTCTACTGCAAGTTGGAGTGTGATGTTCCCCCCGTCATTCCAAACGCCAACTTGCTCCTGCCTCACTGCCTGCGGGGCAACCACGACGTGGGCACCGTCTGCAGATACGAATGCAAACCGGGCTACTACGTGGTGGAAAGCGCAGAGAGTAAAGTCAGGAAGTAAGTCGGATTGTTCCCAGCCCTCGCAGTCCTGCCTACTCACTGCCTGTTGTGTTGTCTGTCTGTGTGACTCTCTTCACCTGCCCAGACACGTGCTCCAGCCATAACAGGCAGGTGACCTGCTGTGCTTTGTGTAACATGTTCTCTCCCATAGGAGATTCCACAGTCTCACCTGGGTGCTTTTTAAAAGAATTTCTGCTCTAATTATCACTTTCCTTGAAAGTATTAGGAGTCTTTAAGTGTCCCGCGTGTCACCCGAATCCAGCTCTATGCCAGCACCTCCTCAGCGGTACAGCTCACAGTCGCAGGCCTGGGAGAAACTGCCTGGCCTGGTCCCCAGTTCAGGCACTTATTAGCTGTGTGACATTGGGAAGGTTTCTTTCTTGGCCTCAGTTTTCTCACCTGTAAAACGGGGATGATAATACTAATATCTACCTTACAGGGCTGATGTAGGGACTAAATGGATTAATATGACTAAAACATAAAATTCAGTAAATTCGTTTTAAAACATAAAATGTAACATTTTGGTTATTATTATTGTTATTGTAGTCTTTCTGCTTTCTCCTTCCTGACCTTTATGTATGCATACTCCTAAACCCATAGCCAGGAGCACCTTTCTTCCGAAGGTATGTGGGATTAGAAAGAACAGAAACTTTATGGCATAATTTAAGAGGAGGGGCTTTCAGAGAGTCAGCCTGTGTTCAAATCTCCTTGCTCTATTTATCAGCTGAGTAACCTCAGGCAAGTTACTTAACTCTTTGGGTCTGGGTCTCCTTCCTTGCATTGAGGATGATGCCCACAGCAGAGGGCTGAGCTGAGGATTAAATGAGGTAATGTCTTTCCAGCTCAGTGCCCGGCTTGCGCCAATTACTGAATAAATGGTTTCAGAAAAAGATGCTTTTTGAACAAACAAACAAAAAGCTTCCAGAAAAAGAAACTCCTTTCATTGAGTAAATAGTAGCTATTCTATCCCTACCATAAATTATGTAGGTACAGGAGTAATCATATCCATTTCTTACACAGGGCTTAGTTCAAAGCCTGACTGTAGGTATTCTTTTTTGTTTTTAATTTTCTTTCAGAATATTATGGGGGTATAAACATTTTGGTTACATGGATTGCTTTTGTGCAGTTTGAGTCAATATTATAAGTGTTGCCCATCCACCAGATAGTGTGCATTGTACCCGTTAGGTGTGAATTTACCCATCCCCTCGGCCCCCCTCCCACCTGTTTGATTTCTGATGAATGTTATTTCCATATGTGCACATAAGAGTTGATCGATTAGTTTCAATTTAATGGTGAATACAGTGGTGTTTGTTTTTCAATTCTTGGGATACTTCACCTAGAAGAATGGTCTCTAGTTCCACCCAGGTTAATATAAGAGGCATTAGTTCACCATTGTTTTTTTATGGCTGAGTAGAACTCCATGGTGTACTTATACCACATTTTATTAATTCACTCATGTATTGATGGGCACCTGGGTTATTTCCACATCTTTGCAATTATAAATTGTGCTGCTGTAAACATTTGAGTGCAGGTGTCTTTATTACAGAATGTCTTTTGTTCCTTTGGGTAGATGCCCAGTAATGGGATTGCTGGATCAAATGGTAGTTCTACTTGTAGCTCTTTAGGTGTCTCCATATTACTTTCCACAGAGGTTGCACTAGTTTGCAGTCCCACCAGCAGTGTATGAGTGTTCCTATCTCTCTGCATCCACGCCAATATTTATTTTTTGGGGGCTTTTTGATAAAAGCCATTCTCACTGGAGTTAAGTGATATCTCATTGTGGTTTTGATTTGCATTTCCCTGATGATTAGAGATGTTGAGCATTTTTTATTGTTTGTTGGCCATTAGTCTACCTTCTTTTGAAAAGTTTCTGTTCATGTCTTTTGCCCACTTTTTAATGGGGTCATTTGATTTTTTTCTTGCTGATTTGCTTGAGTTCTTTATAGTTTCTAGTTATCAGCTCTTCATCAGATGTACAGCATGCAATTATTTTCTCCCATTCTGTAGGTTGTCTGTTCGCTCTAATGATTTTTTCCTTGGCTGTGCAGAAGCCTTTTAATTTGATCAGGTCTTCTTTAATATTTTTTTTTTGAACTAATAAAATCCCAGCCAGGGCATTACCAATGATGCCAGGAAATACAACCTTTGCTTATAAGCTGGAGTTCTCTAAAGGAACAGAAAAAAACAGTAAGGAAACTTCCTATCTGGCTATCACCCTTCCTCTAGTCTATCCCCAGCCAAGTCAACATGGGGCAATAGAGCCATAGCCCTGCCCTGGGCCTGCCATTCCCGACAAGGCCCAGGCTCATACATGGGAGAGGAAGAGCAAGCCCATTCCCTGCCCTGCCTTCTCAGAACACGAAAAATGTCAATGAAAAATTCATGGGAGGCAACATTCTCTGGTTCAGTGGACGCTAGCAGGTGCGATACACAGGTTTTGACAGCTGCGAGCACATTTGTGTGTGATTTTCACAGGATCTGGATCCCATTTGCATAGGATGCAGTGACAGGCAGTGAGGGCCCAGGGAGTCTTCAAGTGAGAATGTTCACATAAATAGCCTGAAGGCTGCTGTTTTCTTGCTTTTTTGCTCTCTCTTCTTACCTTCCTCCTCATATACCAGCAACCACCTCAGATATCTACAGAACAGAGCCACGAGGAAAAATTGAAGGGGGCAGAAATGTCTCAGGGCCAGGAGAAATTAAGGGGAACGAGATCATCGCCAGCTCTCTGGGCCCATGACTGAGCTTTCCCTTGAGAAAAATGAGGTCTCCACCCAGAACTCTGGGATCTCTGCCTTACCCCCGGCCCACTTCCCCTGGGCAGGGGCACTTGGGGGCCGTTTGCAGACAAAGCTTTCCTGGCTGAGAAACTGGACGCTTGCATCACAATGCGGGCATCAGTTTTGGCTTAAACATTTACATTCGCAAGCACCGTGCTGAGGAGAGATTAAATTATTTACTGCGCTGTGTAAACTGATTAAATCTTAGTTTACACCTGTTTATATAGCAGGCAGCGGATTGGTAATCAGAAGTTTGCAAGTTGGACGTAAATCACTGTCACTTGCTTCTTGTGTTTACTCAGCGAACTATGTCAGCCTTGTTCCCTGCACGTGGAAAAAGCCCAGTGTCGTACGAATGGGGCCCTAAAATTCTTTCTAGGACAAGTTGGTACGAAGAGAAGAAACTGAGAAAAGCAAGCAGGGAAATCAATCCAGAGACAGTGGGCACATGTTAGTTTTATGCCATTGTATAGTGTAGTAAAGAAAAGGCACTTAATGGTCATATTTGCAACTTGTTTGCATGACCCTGAGGAATACACTCAATATCCATGTGTATCAGGTTTCGCATCTGTCATAAGGGGGGGTAGTGCTTATTTCTATCCAACAGTGTCATTTGGAGGCTGAAAGTTGCATAATGTAGTGAAAGCATTTTCTAAATTATGAAGTTCAATACATATATGCTATGCTGGATATTACTTTTCATTTATTTTTAAAAGAAGAAAACAATTACCAAAGTATTAATAGCTAAATACATTCCCTTCCTGCTTCTTCTCAAGTCTGCTGTTTCAAGAGAAAAGAAAGATAAGTGCTGGACCTGACTTCCTCTGAGACCTCTGCTCCAGCTCTGTCCCCTTCCACCCAGGGATGGCAGGGATGGCATGTTCTTCACCTGCGTACCCGGAGCCAGTCTCTGAATTACAAATACAGACAGACATGTGAATAAGACCTTGGCAGTCAAACCTCAAAATTCTTAGCCTCAGTTTTCTCATCTGTAAAGTGGGGATGATAATACCAATACCATGGGCCACACCCTCCCTCCTGAAACTCTTCTTCCTTGATTGTGTTCCATCTCCCTCCTTCATGTTCCGTCTTCCTCTCTGTGTCGTCCCAGTTTCCTTCCCTAGATTTTTTTCCTCTGACCATTTCTTCAATGTTGATGTTATTCTGGGATCCCTTTTCGAACTTGTCAGGGATGAAGCTCATTTATCCAGTGGCCTCAGCTTCTAATCACAGACTGTGGCAAGGGCTCCTCCCCTGGGCTCCCCCTGCACACAGAACTTCCCTGATGATATCACTTCCCCCACTGATTCCAAATGGTCTGATTACTCACCTGTATTCTCCAATAGACCGTGAATATTTCTGTTCAGCAACAGGTACACAGTGGCTAGTATATGTACTGGTAGGTACTCAATAAATACTTCCTGAATGGATGAAGACATTGCATTCATAAGAAAATTCATAATAGGACTTTGATGTTAAAATTGATGTTAAAAATGGTGAAAGAAAGAGAAGATTTTTCTTAAGAGGTGGTAGAGATCTCTATTTCAAGTGCTTTAGAGTAGAAGAAAATGTTTAAAATATATGCATGTTTTTCTTCTAGCAATTTTCTCAGAGACGTAGGAGGATCATTTTGTAATGATGGTTTTAACTTTATTTATTCAACATATATTTATGCTTGATTAGTACAATTCTATACAAGTTAGTAGCACCAGAAAAAAGATCAGAGCTCTCACCAGGTCACTAGAACAACGCTCTCACACTTGGCTGCACGTGAGAATCACTCAGGGAGATTTTAAAAACCCCAATGTCCAGTTCGCACCTCAAACCGATTACATCAGAGTCTCTGGGGGCAGGACCGGGCATCAGTATTTTGCAAAGCTCCCCAGGTCACCACAGTGCGCAGCTAAGGCCGGGAAGCACTGGTCTGGGGAACCTTTGCTCCTGTTAGAATAATGTCAGTCATGAGATTTTGACTTGCCTAACATATCCAGAGTAAAGTTTGTCTCTTTTCAACATTAGTGTAGCGGCACTTTCGCATGGCAGATTTTTATGTCTCTTTGAGGCTTATTTTTTTTCGAAGGTAATAGAGAAAATACAGACAGAATTAAAACTCCAAAGAGCCTGTGAGGTTTATGTAGTGTCTGGAGTTCTCTCCTCTCCCACCGTGTGACGCACACAAACTCCTTTAAGCTCTTTTCTTTTTCTCCCCTGCCATTT